GCCCCAGGGGGACCCCCCCCCCCCGCTGGTGGGGGGTTTGCGGGGGGGGGGGGGGGAACATGCCCCCCCAACTAAGGTGGCACCAGTCGCCCATGGTACCAACTTCAAAGTGCACTTGCAATGGTATACGCCCCAGCAGAAGATTGTGCCCCTGTATGGCCCAAAAGTTGTCACACTAAAAAGCTCTACACTGTACTTAACAGTGCACTGAGACTCATAACAAGCTGCACAGCTTCCACACACAGATGTACGCCCTGTACTCTCAGGCATTAGGCCAGGTGATATAAAGAGAAAGGCCCTAACATCATTACTGGCAGTAGAGCAGGTGTGAGCAAAATATGGCCCACAGACCAGATCTGGCCCGCCAAGCAATTAATTGGGTACCCACCAATTAACTGCATCCTGCCCAGCCTGCAGCTGCCCCTGCTGCACTCAATAAGACCCAAGCCCCACCCATTCCCAGCAGAGCACCACGTTGCACTCCCACCCTCATGCGCGAGAGCCCCTGCCCCAGCCAGCACACAGCTTCCAGGCAGGGCCACTGCTGGGGAACTGCTTGGCTTCCCAGGCTGCTCCTCATGTCCCTGCTGCAGTGCTCTGGGCAGCAGGTAGAGAAGTGCAAGGTGAGGGGCAGGGAGAAGCTGCAGCTGGGCAGGAACACGAAGTCCAAGGCCTGTGTCCAGTGAGGTGGCAGGAGCATGGAGCCCAGTTCAGCCTGGTTCCACCGTGCTGGGCTCCCCACAGCTCACGTGTAGCTCCTGGGATTTGCTTGCTACTGGGGGGAAGGCCCGCACGATGGAGCCGGCAGCCTTCAACACACCCTGCTGCCATGTGCACCTTCTGGGACTCTGCCAGAAGCAGCGGGGAGCCCCACGCACTAGAGCCAGACTGACTAGGCACCACTCCCTGCTTCCTGGCAGAGTCCCTGTTTATATATGAAGCCCACAAGCTCCTGGAAGAGATTGGAGATGCTGAACCAAACCTGTGGGCAGCAATGGAGTGGACCAGCCACTGGCAAAGATCAGACCTATTCCTACAGAGTTTTATACCAACAACAAGTGAATCCCCCATTAGGCATGACCTTGACAGAGAAGCATGGGTCAAGCTGAACAGACTGAGATCTGGATACAAACACTTCAAAACAAGACTTTACAAGATAAACATCTCAGACAGCCCCCTGCATGTCCAACAAAGCACAGCACCTAATCAAAAGCTGCGGTCTTTATAAATGCTCAGACAAGGCAGATGGAATATGGACACAGAGCATTAATACCAGACAGCGGTTCATAGATTTGGTAGTTAATCCTTGATACCATATGAAAGAAGGTAGTGGTAGTAGCCTACTTACTGACAAAAGTGAAGCAAAGTGAAGAAGGGAGATGACAGTCTAGAATTTAGGAAATTTGGGTTTAGTTCCCAACTCCTAAACTTTGTGTATAGCCTTGGGCAAGTTTCTTAGGCCAAGATGCTCAAAAGGTAGTTAAGAGCCTAACCATATCTGAGGCTCTGGTATCAGTGTGTCTCAGTTTCCTGTCTGTAAAACAGGGACTTGACATTGCCCTACCACCTAGGGTGTTATGAAGATATGTAATGGGAGCCTCAATAGATGCTGAAAACTTAGGTTTTCAAAAGCTCCTTCTGTCTCACCTGGGGAACTGCTTTTCACTTGCATTGTGCACAATAATGCATTCCCTAGATGTCATATTGTGGAAGTACAGCCACTGGGAATGCCCAATCTCACATGAGATGAAGAAAGCAGCCTCATAGCAGTGAATATTGGGAACATCTGGGAAAGAATGGGCCCAAACTAAACCAAAGCTAAAGACATTTCCCCTCACAGTAGAGGGTGCACACAAAGCTAGAGACTGGTTCAACAGAAGGACAACCAAGGAAAAATCCCAGAACAGGAGTGAGCCCAAACAATGAAGGGACAAAAGGAAATGCCCCTGAGAGAGCTCTGGATGGTATCCACCATTCCTTGAAAATTCCCAGAACCCGGTGGATACTACGAGCAGGAACTCTGCCCGGATAGTTGCAGTAAGAAGGGAATGGGAATCAGCTCCCTCTGCCCCAGTCAAGCTTCCTTCTTCAGTCTCCTGGATGACCACCTTAGCCAATGAAAGGAGGTCCCATTTCAGCTTAATAGCTATACTATAAGTTGCAGTGGTACTTGCAAATCTCCAAGAAGGAACTTTCTGCCCCAGAAAAGTCTGTGTCGAGGGGTTGTGTGAAACACAACTGACAACAGGAATAAGATTGAGATGCCTCAACCCCACACAAGACAACTGTGCAGGACAAGTGTAAACTGGGCGCCAAGGTCATTGGTGCACATTGTAGACGTGGCTGGGAAGAAACTTTCTGAAAAAACATCTGCATCATTTGTGGATTTGTGACCTGTGGAGGACTCCATTTTACATGTTCTTCCAAATGGGTATCATTCTTCATTGTAGAAGTTCCTACATTTCCATGACGTTTTATAGGTGGGTGAAATGCTTTTAAAAAAATCAAACAATCAATCAACTAATATTTATTATTCATTCTATTATTTTCATGATTATTTTTTACTACTGCAAGTACCTCAAGGCAAGGCCTGGCCCCTGATTTGTGCATTTGATGGCCTTTACCACGTGTCTGGAACTAAAAAACATAATAAAAATGTTATAATAATAATACATCCCAACTCACCTGGGTAACATAACATGTTCTCCTTTCTCATTGTACTTGGGATTTTAAATTACTTTTGTATGCCATACAAACTCCTCTTTCTTTCTTGTTGTATGCTTGAAGTAGCTGTTTAGCTCAGTGTATGAACTGAAGACACCCACTGAGTTTTAGCAATTATCAAAATGGAAAGAAGAAAAAAACCAAGAGAAATTAGATGATTTAGATATTATCTCTTTGCTTGAGCAGATCTCACATTTACCTGATTAGCTGTGATTACAGATTTAGGGGATTTGGGGCTCAAACATAACATTTGAAAGTCATGGCTCTTAAATGAAGTTTATCCTGTTTAATCATTGTTCCGAAAATCTCCACAAACACAAGATTAGCCATCCTAATATGCCTGCTTGGCACCTTCCCAGCAATAGGAAAGCGTCTACCTAGGCATTTTCTTTGCCACATAGTAGAAGCTCTGAGCGCAGAAGTAGCTCCATTCAATAACTAGGGTACTGAACCAAAAACAATGCTGGATTCAATGTCAAATCTAGGCAAAGCCTTTTTGCTCCTCTGTTTTAAAGCATATGAACCTGATTCTCCTTTAACCTATTCCAGTTTTACATCCATCTTACTTCACTGACTTCAGTGCAGCTAGCATCCTATTTTTGCACTGTGTAAGACAAACGAGCATCAGGAGCACTGCTGAAAGGGGTCAGACTGACAACTCCAAATAGCAGACTTTCCTGGTTATCAAAATGATGAGTAGCCATGAAAATTTCCCTTCAATTGTCCCACTAACATGCATCAACATTAAGGTGGAAGGAACCCCAGGAGGGACAAATGGATAGTAACTCAAGTGTCCAGGACCATGTGGTCTTTGGCCTCACTGCTAAGACTGGCATAAGGCTGCCAATTAGCATCAACTGCAGTGCAGACAAGAAGGGTTTTTTTATGTAGACACTCATCTACTCAGAAACCAAGATAATCACTGTGACCAGTGACCTTTGAGTCCCCAGACTGTCCAACCAGATCCCCTTTTACAGCTGGGTTAACTCAGGACAGACACACAAACCCAGATCAAGACTGAAACGCATGCCTCCGGAGCTATAGTTGGATGCCTTAACTACTTTGCCCCATGTAGTGCACTGAAAAGATGTGGGATGCTAGTAATCACTGCTGGTGGTTCTGGTACTTCCAAATTGGTCTCCGATTCCAGACCAATTGCTTCACAGTATGAACTGCCAAATGAGTAACAAGGTAACAGAATATTTCCATGTCAGAGCTTGGTTTGATGGTAGGTATTTTGGGGGCGGTCATGGGGAGGCTATACTTATTCTGTTTTCTTTTTCTTCATAGGTCAGCGCTTCTTATTATACTGCACCGGGATCCCTGGGGCACTCAACAGCTATTGTCACCCTTCCCCATTTGCAGCAGAACATATCTGCTAATATGTACGTAAGAGGACCGAGATATCATTTTCTGCATAGGTTTGACTCACAAAGCCCTTTTCAGTTGTTATTTGATTTCCTCAAAGGTTTCTGAGAGCTTCCCAGCCAAGGCAGAACATGTGCCAAGAGATTTTCTAAGGTCACACCACAATCGGGAGTTAAAAACAAATTACAAACCTATGTTTCTTTGGATTCATAGTTCTCTCTCACACATTCTAACCAGCAGATCATAATGTCTTATTAAAACAGTTGATTTCACAGCCTGGCTTTTAAGGAGGGACATAAAATAGTAAAAGAATTTAGATAAAAGGTACTAGGCAGCACACAAGATAAATTCAGAATTTGAGCACTTAAATTACTATGATCACCATAGTGTCACAATCCTAATATTCTGCCCATTTTTTGACCTGCCTGCCTGTTTTTCTATTTCCAAAGCCCATTTGGTTATCAGCAGGCATGTCTACATGTATCCCTAAAGCACCTTTGTTACTGTGCCATCATTTAGTACTTCCTTTTAGTACTCCAAAAGGAATGGCACAGTATTATGGCTTAGTACTATGATGGCATAGTAACAGCCCGTACTGCACCATGCATGTGGCACATGGATATATAGTAGCAAAGTACTATAACAAGGGAGTGTAGTGTCACATGTAGACATGCCCAGCATGTTTGAAATTTTCAAACCAATTTTTTTACATAATAGTTAAATAATTCTTTCACTAATTATTATAGATGAATAAAAGTTTATTGATTTTTTTGCATATTTTGCATAAACTAAACCTTTCAAAATCTAGAACTGAAATGTGAAAATAAATATAAAATTGTAAATCTCTGTTTGGTTTTCCTGGATGAGAACTAGCAGCATAATTCTTAGACTACGCAGCCCAACAGTAACAAACCAGTTGCCTATTTCTAATGAAAACCTCTCCATTAATAGCCTAGACCCTGATCCGGGATACATTAGCAGTCATTAACCAGGTTTATAACCTTGCGTTGTTCTCCTGTGTAAATCCACAAATTACACATATGCACAAAGGTATCAACATAGGCTTCAGTCTTGCAAGGCTTTTATAAATGCTTAACCTGAAGTACAAGACTCACTATAGTCAATGAGACTATTCCAAGACTGCTTCAAAATTAAACACACCTTATTACTTACAGAATGAACCATATTTATATTTTTATAGAAACAAGCCCCTAATCTGTATAGCTCATTGTTCAGATCCTATCATTTAAAAAAAACGTGCTACCTATTGCTACAAAGCAACCGTACGTCAAA